AACACCCTCTGTTGAGCATCCAAAGCCATCAGGGATTTTTAGGGAGGAAACTCCCATTTTTCTCCCATCAAGCACCTGAGGGTTTGAATCACTGACTTTTCAGTTAGGAGAGCAACATGTAACACACTATAGGACCAGAACTCCTTATATAGTCAAAAGAGAAATAAAAATGGAAATGATATATTGAACTGACATACCATGAACATTCTACATATAAAAACTTGTGAGATGCCATGGGATAAATTAAAGATAAAAGGAGGAAAAGTGAAAAGTATTGGACTAAGCATCCAACTATAGGAGTTAGCAAAATAAGATAACAGGTATAGAAATAGGAAGTGAGAAGTAACAGCACAAATATGTAAAATGAATAACAAAGAACTGAAAGAACATAAAGAAAATGCATGCTGATTCTTTGGAAAGACTAATAAAATATAAAGATGCCCTTGTTTAACAAAGTCAGAACTTGAACTCTGGATGGAATTATTTGGATTTTATCCTAGAAATTATGACTAGCCACTAAGGACTTCTTTAATTTTTTTTTTTACAAAGAATAAATAACAATGACAGGTATACCTTCAGACAGTGATTCTTTTTCCTTACACAGAACGGATTACAGTGAGGGAAAGACCAGAGGCAAAGAAGTCAGTTAGGTGACTAGAATCAGAATAGAAGGTTCTGGACAGAGTGGGAGGAAAATATAGAATAAAATTAAAAGTCATTAAAAAGACCGTCTTTACTGTTCTGATTTAGACTGATAGAATCTCCAATTTTATGACACTTAGGTGCCCTTCAAACCTAGAGGTGACCCCACTTACAGCAAGGTACTCCTCAGAAACATAAGCTACACAAAACTAAAAGGGCAACATTTACCCAAAAACAAAGTTCAGGAGGCAGGAAAAATGGACGAGTAGAAAGGGGGAACGCAGAGAAGAGTGAGAAGAATATTATTACCTTGAGGGTAGCTAATGTCACAAAGCAAAATGTGTATCAGTTATTGACCGGGAAACTAATTTCACCTATATCACAATGAAAAAACAAATCTATACAGAAGCAGACTACTGCACCTGCCCCCCCCCCCCCGGAACAAACCATGGGGAAAAACCATCCATTTTTTTTTTTTTTGGATTTCCATTCATTTATTGTTGCTCTTTTCTCCCCCTAATTCATTCCTCTCTTTGAAAAGTAAAAGAAAAATTCTTTCATTGTTATACAGTCCCTCCCCCCAAGTTCACTCCACTATGCAGCCTTCTTCTGGACTCCTGTTATGGCAATAATACCTAATCATAGATTCCTTTTAAACAGTTCTCTCCCTCATCTGTTTCAATGCAGTATGCATAATTTATCCCATCTTTCTCAGTCTCCCCCCAACCCTGATGTCAGTCCCATTTTATAGTACTGGCACCATGCAGTATTTGTCCTTTTGTTTTTTTGTTTTTTTTTTTTTGGTGTTTTTTTTTCCCCTATAATTATATTTTATTAATTTTCATAAACATTTACAGAGATTTTGGGCTTCCACTCATTCATTGTTGCACTATTCTCTCTACCCTCCTCCCAGTTTGTTCTTGTCCAAATGCCACAGTGCTTGTCAAAGCCAGTTCTGATTAATCTTCTTTGTCAGTGTATCCTTTGCCATTCCCTATCACTCCTCCCTGAGAGAGACTTCACCCTGAGTCATAAGGAAAAGGGCACGGCGTATTCTCTTAGCTACTTCCTGCTGAAAAGGGACGCTGTGGGTTTCAGGGTGAAGATCTTCTCTCACTACTCTAAAGGGCCCCTTTGGCAGTAGGAAACACATAGACTATTATGGAGATTGATTTTGGAATTCAGATGCACTCTTATTGATTGTGCTTGGCTGTACATGTACATATCCTTCAAGATGTATCATGGGGGTGTTGCAACCTAGAAGACACAAATTTGACTAACAAGTTATAAGTACATGAGTCCAAAAATTATGGAAAAGTAAAAGAAAAGATTCTTTCATTGTTTTACAAACCCTCCCCCAGGTCCCCTCCACCATGCAGCCCTCGCTCTAGTCTCCTGTGATGACAGAAATACCCAGTTACATCTCTCTTTTAGACGGTTCTCTCCCTCCTCTGCTTCAGTGCAGTATACATTATTGAACCCATCTTACTCAGTGTCTCCCTAACCCCAAGGACAGTCCCATTCTACAACAGTGGCATCATGTAATATTTGTCCTTTTGTGACTGGGATATTTCACTCAGCATAATGTTCTCCAGAGTCAACCATTTTGAATAATATTGCATGAGTTCCTTGAAAAACCATCCATTTTTTAGTTAGTAGTTAATTTACTTTAAATTAGCTTTAATTACTCTGCTACCAAGGCTCCTTGTACTTTGAATGGCTGTTGTTGTTAGAAGCCTTTGGCTCTAGTAGGACTCCTAGCGACCCTATAAACAACAGATCTGAACCCTGTCCTATCCTGTGCCTTCTGAATGTTGTTGTTTATGTGCTGTTGGGTTATTTGTGACTCATAGTGACACTGTGTACAGCTCTGAACCCTGCTTTATCTTGAGTCAACCTTATTGTCTCTCACACACCTACTTCAGTTACCTCTGTCAGTGAGTCAATCTGTCTCATCAAGTGTCTTCCTCTTACAATGTCCCCCCACCCAGATGTCCCTCTCTGAGAACTGGTCCCTCCTGGCAACATGCCCAAAGTATGTCAGATAAAGCCTCAGAATCCTTGCCTCCAAGGAGCAGCCTGGTTTTCATTCTCTCCAGGACAAACTTGTTTGTTCTCCTAGCAGTCCATGATATATTCTCTACTCTTCTCCAGCACCACAGCTCAAAGGCATCAATTCTCCTTCAGTCCTTCCCGCCATTGTCCAGCCTTCTGATGCATTGCAAGTAATTGCAAAGGCCATGGCCGGGGTCAGGTGCACGTTAGTCTCCAGACTGACGTTGTTCTTCAGTAGTCTGGAGAGACTTTCCCAATGCAATTCAAACTTTGATATCCTGGATGCTGGAACCAAGAATCTTAACTGTGGAGCGAAGCAAAGTGAAGCCATCTGAGCAGGGAGAGATAAATATTAGTCATGGCCAGAGGCAGAGAAGTTGGTCAGTACTTACATATTATTTGCATATAGTGACTAAAAAATATTTGTGGTATCCACCATATAAGAAACTAGATCTCAAGAAAGAGCTCAAAAGAATGATCTTTTCAGAATATTGTTTCATAGCTGTTATTACACAGACACTAGATCACATTTGTCCTGAATCACCACTACTGCAGTGCTTTATGGATTATAGCTAAACTGCTTGCAAGTTGAATGAGCATACAAATCAGGTATTTCAGTCAAGTCATTGCTGTGGAGTCCAGACTCCAGTTGACTTTCTCAGGCTGTGAAGCTCATGGGAGAAGATTGCTCATCTTTCTCTCATGGAACTGCTGGTGGATCCAAAACCGCTTATGGATTAGCAGTACAACCCCTTAGAAGTTAAAAATCTGCTTATTTCATAGGGTGTTATACTTTATATATTGGGAAAATCTGTTGTCAAGTACCGCTCCAGAGTACTGAACAGCAGTGATGTCAGTCTAGAGACTAAGGAGCGCCTCATCCAGGCCATGATCTTCATAATTACTTGCTGTGTTTTAGAGAGCTGGACAGTGACTAAGGATCACAGAAAAATAATTGATGTGCAGGAGAAGAGTCTTGAACATACCATGGACTGCCAAGAAGAAGAAAAAAAAGGTTTGTCTTGGAGAGGGTGAAACCAAGTTTCTCCTTGGAGGCTAGATTTTGAAACTCTGACTCACATACTTTCGGCACTTGGCCAGAAGGGACCAGTCCTTGAAGAAAGACATCATGCTCGGTAGGGTGGAGGAACAGTGCAGGAGATGAAGACCCCAGATGAGATGGATTGACACAGTAACTAGGGCAATGGGGGTAGGTGTGATAATCAGTGAGATTGACTCAGGACATGGCAGGCTTCAGAGCTATTGTGCATAGGGTCACTATGAGTCACAGGTGACTTTACAGCACATAACAACAACAGTAGGTGTTGATCAGAATTACTGGAACTTAAACATTAGCAATTTGAAAAATACATTAGAAACTATAAAATCTTCAGTCTCCTTTTATTCATAAATGTGATTCCCAAGAATATATATATATTCATTATTATTAATTTTAATGGATGTTTACAGAGACTTTGGATTTCTATTCATTCATTGTTGCATTTTTCTCCCTGCCCACCCCTCCCCCCCAGTTCACTCATTTTTATGAAAAAATTAAGAAACAGCTATATGGGGAAAATATATACGTTGCTACATTTTCTAGAAAAGCAAAATAGCAGAACCATTCTAAATATCGTGAAATAATGTAATGGTTAGATAAAACATGTTACTAAAATGGATAACACCATATAAGCATTGTATAAGGGAGGTCTAGTGGTGTGGTCAGGGAGCTGTGGTGGCCTAGTGTTAGGAAACATACTGCAATCCCAAAGGTATGTGGTTCGAATCCAGCAGCTGCTTCACGGGAGAAGATGGGCGATCTTCTCCCGTGTGGTTAACTGCCTCTGAAAACTTGCTGGAGGGTCAGCTATGGGCCAGTTCTGACTCCATGGTACACAACAAGAGTGGTGTGGTCAGTAGGGAGTTGTGCTGCCTACTGACTCAAGGCTTCGTATATCCTCTGGGGGTTCTAATCCAGCAGCTGTACCACAGAAGAAAGACAAGCAGCCTCCTGCCAAACAATTTCCAGCCCTGGAAACCTGCTGGAGGGTCAGTTAAGAGTCAGTCCTGACTTGACGGCAATGAGAGTTTGAGATAAGTATTATACACTGTATAAATTACATATATAGAGAAAATGGTTGGAAGGAAACATGAACAAAAAAAACCTGACATCTACTAGAATTACAAAGAGTTCTTGTATTACTCTAGCAAAATCATCGAAATGCTGAAAACATTTTCAGATTTTTTTTTAAATTATTATCCCAGACTAAAGGTTTTCTTATCATCTCTTGTATTTTATTTAGGGAAATTATCGTTTCATGAAACTTTTACTCACACGAAGAGCCAATTGGATGCAGAAGGATCTAGAAGAGATGACTCCCTTGCACTTGACTACCCGACACAAAAGTCCTAAGTGTTTGGCGCTTCTGCTGAAATTCATGGCACCAGGAGAAGTAGACACACAGGATAAAAATAAGGTAATTGTTTATCAAATTGGAAATAAGTGAGAGCAGAAAACAAATTTTTATTTGCTTCCTTCTGATAAAACCTCAAGAAGATACGAATTACACTCTATACATGTGACAACTGTGCATGTACTTGTATGTAGTATATACAAGTCTATATATACTCTGGGGAATAGTTAAATCTGTCATTTTTATAGTCATACCTGTGTGTGGTCAGTAGAGTTTCATCTCTTTTTTCACAGATAGGAAAGCTAAAAAGAGAAAGATTACATTTTTACCCAAGATCTAAGTGACAGAACTAGCATTCTAACCCAGTTTTTCTGACCCCCAGGCCCAATATTTCATACCTATTTGTGGTAGTAACCTCATCTGTGGAAAGAGATGATGGAGAAGTTCTTTGTGATCTGTGAGAACAAGACCAGGGCTGACTGCAGAACAGAACAACAGTTGCTCAAATATGAGTTCTAGTTTTGAAGCTGAAGAAAATGAAAGTGTGTTCCCGAGAGACAAAATAGGACCTTAAATGCCTGTATGTAAAGACCATCTTGAGAATGTGTTTGACATTGGATGCTAGTGACTGACCTGTGGGATATCATCAAGGGCATCCGACATGAAGAAAGCACAAGGGGATAAAAAAGATATGAAAGAAAAGAAAAATGCGGATGGGGGGACAGGGAGGAAAATGTACAACAATGAATGAATGGAAATCCAAGTTCTTTATAAACTTACAATAAAATCTCAATTAAAATAAAAGGAAAAACCAAAATATTATCAGCAGAGACTTTGAAGCTTCCTCTTGAATACAGAGCAGCTAAAGAGAAAGGAAAGAGTCTGAGGGGGAGGTGTAAAAGAGTTAAAAAGATTGAAAAGGGCAGCTCTGGAAGATAAGTACAGAATTATAAATATTAATTAATTAAATATGCAAAAACTTGGAATTAAAAATGAAAAGGAAAGAACATATATGGAAATTCTCAGGTTGAAGGACATAAAGAAAAAATCCAAGCCCCAAGTTGCAATGTTGGGCTAGAAACCCAGTATCAAGAACTTGTCAAAGTAAGTTGAAAGGAAACACATAGTCATTGTACAAAAAAAAAATCATTGGTTGAGGTTCAACCACTTCAGAAATATTATTAAAAGTCAATATGAAAAAAATAAATTAAAAACAATATGAAAAGAAATGATATACAAGGAAGAAGTCTAAACTATATTGAAGGTCTTGAAAAAGAACAATGCTGCAGAAGTTGACGGAATACCACTCGAAGCGTTCCAAAAAATGGATGCAGTGCTGCACTCTCTTGTCTATGCCAAGAAACTTGGAAGACAGGACCTATATGGAAGATGCCCATATTTGTGTCCATTCCAAAGAAAATGTAAGAATGCTTACATTATAGAATTATACCATTAGTATCACACTAAAGTAGAATTTTGCTGAAGATAATTCAAAAGTGCTTGCAGCACTGTATTGACAGCAAAACACTAGAAGTTCAAGTCAGGTTCAGAAGAGCATGTGGATTGAGGGATATCATTGCTTATGCTAGAGAGTCCTAGAAAGTTATGTTTACTTTTTTTTATTGTCTATGTACAGGTATTCAGTTATGTGAATTAAAACAAAATATGGACAACACTACAAAGAATGGGCAATCTAGAACACTTGTGCTTTTTAAAAACCTTTATATAGACCAAGAGGGAATCTTTTAAATAGAACAAGGGATACCATGATTTAGAATCAGGAAAAATGTTAATTAGGATGATATCATTTTACTATTCTTACTTCAGTCTGAAGAAATAATCCAAAAAATAGAATTTATGAAGAATCAGGATTGGAAGAAACTCAGTAACATGTAGATGATACAGCCTTGCTAGCTGAAAGTAGAGGACACTTATTGGTGAATATCAAAGACTACAGCCTTCTGGGATGGTTGCACCTTAACATAAAGAAAATAAAAATTCTCATAACTGGACCAGCAAGCAATATCATGCATGGTAAATGGAGAAAAGATTGATGTTATCAATGATTTGCTTTTATTTGGACCCACAATCATTGCCCAGGAAAGCAACAGCCAAGAAATCAAAATATTTACTTGCTAAAAAGCAAGGCTGTTGTCTTACAGACTAAGATGCTCCTGGACAAAATCATGGTGTTGTCAGTTGTTTCATATGTATATGAAAGCTTGACAGCAACAAAGGAATTTTGAGGAAGAATTGATGCATTTTAATTACAGTATTGACAAAGAATATTTAGTATACTATGGACAGCGCAGGAGAGGAAAACCCTTGATGAGATGGATTCGATTCAGTGATTGGGGTAATGGGAGTAGGTGTGTCGGAGACAATGAGGTTGGCACAGGCTAGAGCAGGGTTTAGGGCTGTTGTACATAGGGTCGCTATGAATCGCAAGCTACTTGATGGCACATAACAACAACGTGGACTGCCAGAAGACTTAATAAATCTGTCTTGGAAGAAGTTCAGCTAGGGTGTTCCTTAGAATCAAGACTGGTGAGATTTCATCTGACCTTGGGCACGTTGTCAAGAAAGACCATTCCCTGAGGAAGGACAGTAGGGTTGGTCAAGTACAGGGCTGATGAGTTGGCTGAATTGGCACGATGGCTGCAGCAGTGGTCTCCAACATGGTAACGATTGTGAGCATGGTCCGGAGGCAGGCAGGGTTTTGTTCTGTTGTAGGTAGGGTGGTTGCTCCGAATTGGAACTGGCTCAGTGGCACCTAATGACATTTAACAGATGCCTTCAATAAATTTTAGCTGAAAAATTCTAATTAGGTTCATTTGAGTTCTAGAACTAAATTTGCTCTGGCATTTCTTGCTAGAATCTATTATCATCTGTGCTCTTGAATTTTAATATATTGTTCACATTGGTCTTGTTTTGATTGATGCACTATTATTTCATTCTTTGGTGAAAAGTGTGGTCTATAGACAAATGCAATAATTCTCTTTTTTTCTATCTGGCACTTCGTCACAGGAAATAAGATGTCCATTGATCAAACTTTGACCAAAAAAGTAGAAATTATGCCTTAGAAATGAAACCAAACCAAAGTCTAGTTACTAGAAGTGGGCACAGGATCTCAACAATGCCATTAGACAAAACTGAGTTTACAGAGAATACTCCACATTTATCTTCATAACCCTCCATCTACAATCTCCACTCCTGCCTCCCACACACATAATCACCTGTACAGTAATAACAGCCTAAGGGTCAAGGACAGCATCTGAAAAACAGCTGACCCTGTAGTAATTGAGTTCAGTGACTGTAAGTTTTTTATTGATATCTTAATGAAAGTTTACAAAAAAACTTGGATTTCCTTTCATTCGTTGTTGCACATTTTCCTCCATACCACCCTCCAGTTCACTTTTCTCTTTAGAAAGATCCTTTTTCATTGTTGTACAATTTCCTCCCTCCTCCTGCCCTCCAGTCCACTTTGCTCTGTACCTCTTATTCTGGATTATTGTCATGCACATAATACCTAATCATACATCATTATGCTGAGTGAAATATCTCAGTCACAAAAAGGACAAATACTGCATAATGCACTGTTATAAAACAGGACTGACATGGAGACTTTTTTTTGTTAATTAGACTTCAGTAAGATTGAGCTGGCTCTAAAGGGGAAATCTCCCCATCAATTTCCCCATTAGAGAACATAGAGAATGAAAGGGAGCTTCAACATCAGAGCCTTTAGCCTCTCCCTCAATGAATAGAGGTTTTAGTTTTCTATCCAACAGTATTGAATTGCTATGTATATGGGTATTGGTTGATTATTTGTTATATAATCACCTCTCATTTTTACTTTGAAAAAATCCAAAATTATATGTTTCCTTATAAATAAATTACACATTTTCTTTGTATAAAATAAGCAATGTGGCAGGTGTTTACTTCACTCTACTTCTGGGTTTCCTAAGTTGTTGTTATGGCCACACAGCACTCACAGACAATACTTACAGTTATGGGGTTTATTAGGGAGTAACAGGTTATAATTCAGGTTGGAAACTTTCAGAATACAATTATTCCATCAGGACAGCCTCTTCTCAGGCATGATTGGAGATTGACCTCTCTTTCTGTTGCTCAGACTTGTAGGCTTGACCTCTAGCATGGTCAGCAAATTTGCAAAGCTCTTTAAGCTCTACCAGTTATGTGTCTCCCACACTCCTCTAGTAAACTTAGTCCCACAGGTGATGTTAGCTCAGTGGGTCAACAGACCTAACTCGGCTGTGTCCTACACTAGCCTCTGGTTCTCCACTACTGTTGTTACTGTCACTGCTGCCACCATGGCCATTATCTAGCTGTCTGGTCTGTTTTGTCTTGCCTCAAGTCACCTCTCATGTCACCAGTACTACATCTGTCTCTCCCTCTCTGATTCACACAGCCCCATAGGAAACACTGTACTCTCTAGTTCTTTCTTCTTGATGATGGTGAGATCCCCATTTCCTGCCTCTAAATCTTTTCAATTTAGTAAACCTGGCAGAACTGACCAAGTGCCAATTTAGTGTCCCACGTATCTTATTAGCATATTTCCATGCAAAAAGTATAATTTAGTTTATTTACATAATTAGCAAGCTGTCCAACCTGTTGATGGATCACAAACATAACATTTTCATAGCTCTACCTAGTCAATATGTATGTTCAGTAAATAATCATAGAGACTGAACTATGTGAGAAAGTGACATCAGAATTAGAATAAGACTCACCAACAGCCTATTATACAAATGACACTGCTATGCTTGTTGAAAGTGATGAGGACTTGGAGCATTTAGTAAAGAAGATCAAACACTACACCTTACAGTGTAGATTATCTTTCTACCTAAAGAAAACAGTCCTCCCAACTATATCAATAAGCAACTTCTTGATAAATAGCAACAAGATTGAAGTTGTCAATTATTTCATTTTACTTGAATTCTTAGTCATCAACTCAATTCATTACTGTCAAGCCAGAACCAATTCCTGGCTGACCCTCTAGTGGGTTTCTGAGGCTGTAAATCACCCAGGAAGTTTGAGATTGCCCATCTTTCTTCCACTGTGGATTTGAGCTGCCAGAGGGACACAGTGTTTGGGTTAGCTTCCCATAGTAGGCCACCAGAGGTCCTCTTCCGTGGAAGCAGCAATGAAGAAAACCTATTTCTTTGGACTCATCTGCTGTCAAGGACTTTTCTTTAAAGTGCTAAAAGCCATGGTATTTTATATTACTTCACATACATATGAAAGTTAGATAGTGAATAAAGAAGACTGAAGAAGAATTGATGCCTTTGAAAGGACTGCCAGCTGCATGGACAAATTTTTCTTGGAAGAAGTGAAGCCAGAGTGCTCCTTCTGTCCCCTAAGCCATACCTGTTCCCTTTTTTCCCATTTATATTCCATTGAATATTAATCTTCAAAGCATTTTATCTAGTTGTGTTCACCACTTACCTTTTTGTTCATTACATAAAGCATTGGGCTGCTTTTCTTTTTCTCTGTATTATCACTGAATAGTTCTTGATGATGTGAATGGCTGTTACGATTAAGAACTTGGATTCTGAGGGAGCTCTGGTGGCCTAGTGGTAAGAAGCTCCACTGCAATCCCAGAGGTACACGGTTCAAATCCACCAGGTGCTCTGCTGGAGAAGGAGGGGCAGTCTCTTCCTGTACCAGTCAGATCCGATTTGACAGTACACAAACACACACACACACAAAAAAAAAGTTGGATTCTGGAGTCAGGCTACCTAGATTAAATATCTATTATTTCACATTTACTGCCTTTATGCCCTTTGGCAGGTTCCTTGCCAGTCTCATGCAGATTAAAAAGTTCATTCATGAGAGCTCTGGTGGCCTGATGACAAAAAGCTGTACTGCAGTCCCAACGGCGCACACTCTGAATCTATCAGATGCTCTGCTGGAGAAGGTGGGGCAGTCTCCTCCCGTACTAGTCAGATCCAATTTGACGGTACACACCAAGAGAGAGAAAAAATATCACTCATCTCCCAGCAATGCCATGATTACTGTGTGTGGGAAAATACATACGAACGAATGCTAAGGGCATAGAAGTTGTTGTTATTATTGTTATTTTTTTCTGAGAATGTTTCTATTTTGCAGCAAACAGCTCTGCACTGGAGTGCCTACTACAACAACCCGGAGCACGTGAAGCTGCTTATCAAGCATGATTCTAACATCGGGATTCCTGATGTCGAAGGCAAGATCCCACTTCACTGGGCAGCCAACCATAAGGATCCCAGTGCTGTTCATACAGTGAAATGCATTCTGGTGAGTTCTGTTTGCATGGTCTTTGCAAAAATTTTGGTTATAAAGTTGCTAATATAGACCAAATATATGTATGACATGTATGCAGATCATACAGCAAATAAACACAATGAACCTGTAAACCTATCAGTTGAGAAATATGTTACTTTTGAGAGACTTGGCATCAGACGTTGAGTGTGTTTCCTTAACTTTTCAACTTTTTCACATTTGCCATAGAACCTCAAAAAATATGATTGCTTCTTTTGAAGCAAAAAAAGAAAAAGCTAATCTTTTTAATACCTCTATTTAAGACCTCATAGGAATTTTGATGTACCGGTTTTAAAATACATTCTTTCCCCTTAAGACATGCCAAATTCCTTTCTTTCATCAGTTATAATCCTGAATTTGTACTTCTTATTCTATGAGTAACTTAGTAATTGTTTTTATTTAATGGTAAATATATTCAAATGAATATAAAACTTGGTACCAAGACTACTGAATGTAGAGCCAAGTAATATTAAATCATTGGCAATTTCAAGCCTTTCTCCATCTATTATGCTGTTGCCTGTTGACCCCCTGGTAAGGACCTTTGTTTTCTTGATATTGAGATATAATCCATATTGAAGGTTGTAGTCTTTGATATTTTGTAGCAAGAATTTCAGGTCCTCTTCACTTGCAGCAAGCAAGATTGTATCATCTATATAATACAGGTTGCTGATGAGTTTTTCTCCAATCCTTAAGCCACATGCCTCCTCACAGAGTGCAGTTTCACAAATTATTTGCTCAGCATACAGATTGAATAGGTGTAGAGAAAGGACACATTCTGACACACACCCTTCTTTATTTTAAACCAAGCATTGTTCCCTTGGTGTGTTCAGAGAATACCTTCTTAATCTGGGTATAGATTTAGCATATGAACAATTAGGTGTTCTAGGATTCCCATTTTTCTCAATGTTAGCCAGAGTTTGTTGTGATCCACATAGTCAAATGCCTTTACATAATCAATAAACAGGTAAACATTCTTCTGGTATTGTCTGCTTTGAGGATCTATCTGACATTTGGAGTGATAGCCTTGGTGCAGAGTCTCTTCCAAACGCAAGTTGGTCTTTTGGCAGTTCCCTGTCAATGTACTGTTCTAGCCATTTTTGGATAGTTGACTCTTGATTATATGGTACTCCCTGAAATATTTCAGTGTCAGCTGATTCTTTTTGGTACAGTGATTCTGTATATTGCTTTCATCTTCTTGGATCAGTCACCTCTCAATATTGCAACTCAAGGCTTGAATTTTCAGTTCATTCAGGTTGAGAAATGCTAAGCGAGTTCTTTCTTTTTCAGTTTTCCAGCTCTCTACACATTTCATTATAATACATTGCTTGGTCTTCTCGAACTCCCCTCTGAAATCTTCTCTTCCACCCTTTTACTTCAGTGTCTCTTCTCTTTGTTTTGCCTTTTTTTTTCAATGCTTTAATGCAATTTTCAGTTTCCCTAACATCCATTTTGGGTTTTTTGTTTCTCCTCTGTCTTTATAATGACCTTTTGTTTCATGTGTGATATCCTTGATTTCAGCTTGCAGCTGTTCTGATCTTCAATCATTGGTAACCAATGTCTCAAACCTACTCTTCAGTTGGTTTTTTTAATTCAGGCTGAATAGACTCAAAGTTGTATTTTGGTTCTTGTGGATTTTTTAAAACTTCTTCAGTCTCAGTTTGAATTTGCAAATGAGTAATTGGTGGTCTGTTTCACAGTCAGCATCTGGCCTGGTTCTGACTGCTGATACTGAGCTCCTCCAGTGATTTTTTCCCCACGGATATAGTCAGTCTGATCCTTTTGCAGACCATCAGGTGAAGTCCATGTGTAAAGTCACCTCTTATGTTTCTTAAAAAAAGTATTTGCTGCTCACCGACAAATGAATGGACAAGAAAACTATGGTACATTCACACAATGGAACATTATAGAGTATTGAAAAACAATGAATTTATAAAACATTACACAGTATGGGGAGAGCCTAGAGGACATTATGTTGCATGAAATATCTCAGTCACAAAAGGACAAACTATATAACACTGTTGTTATTAAATAGGACAGACATGGTGAGGATTGGGTAGAGAATAAGAAAAGAGTGGATAGATAATGAATACTTCATTAAATCAGATGATGGGAAGAACTGTTCAAAAGGAATATATGATTAGGCATTATATGTATGAAAATAATCTGGAACAAGGGGTGCATTGCGGAGAGGGCTAGAGCATAGAAGAGAGAGGAAGAAAAAATGTGCAACCATAAAAAAAATTAAAATAAAACATTAAAAGGAAGAAAGTCACAGTTAAGAAAGGAATAGAAAACCCACAGAGTGGGAGTAAATGTTGGCAAATCATTACATGACATGAGACTTACAGCTAGAATATATAAAACTCTCATAACTAAAGAATAAAAACACAAATAACTATAAAAAAGTACTCACTATGAATAAATCACCGAATGTACAAAATGCAATTTTTAGTCTCCAGCCTCATTTCTGTTGCTAAGTCAGTACTTTCCAACTACGATTGCTTCCCCATTATCTCCAACCTTTACAGTCACCAGTAATTATTAATACATATTGATTGCATGCTTGATCAATTTCAGACTGCAATAGTTAGTAGAAATCCTTAATTCTCTCTTTTTTTGGCTTTAGTTGTTGGTGTATATATTTTAATAATAGTTATGATAACAGGTCTTCCTTGTATGTGTATGGATCCCATCACTCACAACATTGTATTTTAGAATAGATGTTGAAATTCTCATTTTAATTATAAATTTAACTCTATTTTTTTTTCATTCCCATCATAGCATATGATTGTCTGAATCAGAGTGGCACATGCCAGTCCATATAGCTGGATGTGTATACACTTGCTTATTGTTTACTATTATTAATGCGGTACTTGTCCGTCAGTCTGCTGTATTGGTATAACTTGTTGCTTGCTGAGATCCTGGAGATTATACCACCAATGTGTTAAATGCCAGAAGGGACACCCATGGTAGACAGGTTACAGTACAGCTCCTAGACTGAGACAGACTAGGAAACAAGACTGGCTCTCTATTTCTGAAATAAAAGGCCTTCAAAAACCCTACAAAGCTATGACTCAAACTGTTGTTCATTGTGACTTTATGTACAGGAGAACAAAATGCAGAAATTGTATTTTTTTAAAAATAGACTTATTCTTTTTATTTATATATTAAATAATTTTATCCCACATTACTTTTTTGAATCTCCAATTTTTCCTTCAATGTTACTACCTTATCTCCTGAAATTCATTACTAAGACTTTCTTTAGATTATAGAGGCTAAACTCTTTTTTTTTTTTAATCAGGAATATCATCTGTATCTCAGCTTTGCTTTTCAAATGCCTGCTACTTTTTTTTTTTTTTCGTTGCACTGAAGGAGTCTACCAGGGGTCTAATTGTGAGCCTTTGGTAAACCATGCATCTTTTTTTTATGTATTAAACTCTTCTCTTTGTTTGATATTCTACACTTTTGCTACACTATGTCTAAGGTACCTGAGTGTATATTAACCCTGTTTCTTGTACATTCTGATTATCCTGTCTCTTTCTGGAAATTATATGGCTGTTACCTCTTTAAATATTACCTTTCCTTCAAAACAATGCATTGAGCATAATGCTCTTCAGTCCCTCTCAAGTTAGGTAATGACTTTATACTGGTTTACATACATACAAAGTTCATAAAGTTCATATACATTGACTGAAGAGCATTATGCTGAGTGAACTAACTCAGTCCCACAAAGACAAATACTGTATAAAACCATTATTGTAGAATAAATATGAGGATCCAAGTGGGGGTGGTGGAAGCAGATGGGTGGAGGAGGTGTGTGGGGGAGATTTTAATCATGTATAATTTGATGGGTGGGAGGGTGAGGAAAATGGAAAGGATCTGGTCTGAAAAATAGTGTATTTGAATTTTGTAAATAAACCAGTATTAAAAATAGTGGGGTAATAGTAGGCATAGATCAATAGTAATTAATTATGTAACATACTGTGTACATGAATGATTATATAAAAAACACAATGTGAATCAAAGAGTGTTTAAAATTCAGTGTACATGAATGAAACACAATGTAAATTTTTTCTTGTATATTAATTAGTTAATTAATTAAAAGAAGAAAAAACAAAGCAGTACATTGTGTGAGAACTTCCAGAAGTTCAAGTTGATCTTAGAAGAGGCCGTGGCACCAGAGATATCATTGCTGATTTCAGATGCATTGCTGAAAGCAAAGAATACCAGAAGAATGTCAATTTGTGTTTTATTGACTATATAAAGGCATTTGACCATGTGGATCATAACAAACGATGGCTCACATTGAGAAGAATGAGAATCCCACTTTATTGTGTTCTTACAAAACCTTTATCTAGTCCAAGAAACTCCTGTCCAGAGCACGGGAACATTTCATAGTTTAAAATGAAGGAAGGTGTGGATCAGGGTTTTATCCTTTCTCTATATCTCTTCAATGTGTACGCTGAGCAAATCATTTAAGAAGCTGGACTCTATGAAGAAAATGTGGCATCTAGATCAGAGGAAGACTCATCAACAACCTGCATTATGCAGATTATTGCTTGCTAAAACTGAGGACTTGAAACGCTACTGCAGAAAGTCAAGAACTATAACCTTCAATCAGGAAGCCCTGGTGGTCTATTGGAAAGAAGCTGTGCTGCAATCCCGAAGGCACATGGTTCTAGGCCACCAGCTGCTCTGCTGGAGAATGTTGGGCAATCTCCTTCCATGTGATTAACCACAGGTCAGTTCTGATGACAGCCTTCAATATTAATCATATCTCAACATCGAGAAGACAAAAATCCTCACCACTGGACTGAAAGCAACATCTTGATAGATGTAGAAAAAGTTGATATTGTCAATAATTTCATCTTTCTTAGATCTGCAATAAAAACTCTTGGGACCAGCAATCAGGTGATTAAGAGATATAGAGCACTGGGCAAGTCTACTGTGAGAGAGCTCCCTAAAGTACCCATGAACAATAATGCCACTTTGAGGACTAAGGTGTACCTGATTCAGGCCAAGGCCTTTTCAGTCACTTACTATGCATCTGAGAACTGGACAATGAATAAGGGTGAAGAATTGATGCCTTTAAATTGTGTTATTGGAGAAGAATACTATTTCGTGGACTGCTATAACAGTAAAAAGATATGTCCTGGAGAAAGTACAGCCCGAGTGCTCCTTGGAGGCAAAGATGAAGAAGCTTCATCTCTCATACCTTGGGCATATTGCTAAGAGGGGCTATTCCTTGGAGAGGAACATCATACTTGAAAGGTGGAGGGGTCAGCAAAAGAAGGAAGACCCTCAACAATATAGATTGACATAGTGATTGACACATTGGGCTCAAGAGTGTCAGAGATGATGATGAGAGAACAGGATAGGACCAGGTTCATATCTGTTGTTCATAAGATTGTTATGATTTATACTTGACTCAATGGCACCTATGAGCAACAACAACATTCTTGCTACTCTTTCATTTAGGGTCTCCAATTATGCATTTTATCAGTTATGGCACTTACATTCTCTTTTCTATTTCCATCTCCTACTCTTTCTCTGCTATATTCTGAGTAATTACCTTTGAATTTTCAGTTTACCAATTCTTTTTTCAGCTGAGTATAATGTGTTCATCCTATCCATTGTGTTTTTAGTTTTAGTGATGATATATATATATTTTTTAATTTTTTGCTTGTGTAGAGAAAGAATGTAGACATTTTGTTTATAAAATATCTTCACTTATATTCATGTCAGATGTGATTTATTAAGGATTCAGTGGGTATTTGAAGTCCATGTTTCTTTAAAAATAGGATGCCGCTCCTACAGAATCCTTGCTGAACTGGCAAGACTATGAGGGTCGAACACCTCTTCACTTTGCGGTCGCCGACGGGAATGTGACAGTGGTGGATGTCTTGACCTCTTATGAAAGCTGCAATATAACATCTTATGATAACTTATTTAGAACCCCACTTCACTGGGCAGCTCTACTAGGTAAGTATATCGTGTTTCAGAGGATCAAGGAAGGAACTGCCTGGGAAAGTTTCTCTTGCTTTCTCTTCCCCTTTTGCCTTCTATCTCCTACTCAGTTGCTTTAATTTCTAATTGATACATGAGAAAATGTAATACCTAAACACCTCTATTGTATATTTAAATCTACCCTCTATTTTATGTTTTCTTTTCACTCATGCCTTCCCTTGTAATTTTATTATAAAATCTATTCATTGACAGCAAAAGAATGTAAAATCATTTCCTTTCTGTTTTTAATGTGTTTCTTTTTGCCTTGATGGGATTTAAATTTTATGTTTGTGTTAATACTGTGATTTGGGTGGGGTATCATATTTTCCCGAGATAAATTTTATATAACCTTTCTTGGGAGTCACTTTTTCAAATAATTAATCTATATATGTCTGATTTTTTTAAAAAAGAGTTCTTCCTCTATTGAAAGAGAATCTTTCTCTTTTAATAAAAGTGTTTTACTCAATTATATTATCAGTTCCTTTATAACATATAGAATTTAGAATCTCTATTTTGCTATTCTGTTCTACTTTGTGGAGATTATTTTTGGTGGGGTTTTTTCCCCTTAATTTCTTTTTCTATTTCCTTTATTCTCTGCCTCTTTGTATATAGGTAAGTTTGCTTGTTCTTTGTTATTTTACATTACTCAGGAACTCTCATGGCCTTGTGGGTAGGAAGTTGTTCTCCTAACGCAAGGTGGCCCTTCTTTGGCAGTTCAAATCCATTGGCAGCTTCAAGGAAGAAAGATGGACAATCTCCTTCTCTGTGATTTACAGCCTCTGAAAACCTGCTGGAGCTGTGAGTCTTTTCCGACTCAATAGCAATAAATGAGAATGTTGAAAAAGGTGTTTAAGTTCTATCAGTTGTTAGTTTTAAATATACCAAAACCTTCTTAAAAATAAGTCAGAATAAGCACAAATGGAATCTCTTGATTCCTGCTTACTTTAGGGAAAGAATTTAGCACAATTTCACTGATCACTCCCTTAATGTTTGTTAATACAATCTGGGAGTTCCAGCATGATGCAAATGGGTACATGCTCTATTACTAATGGAAAGTTCAGAGGTGTGAATCTACGCAGATGCTCTTCAGAAGGTAGACCCGGTGAACTCCTTCAGAACATCCACCACCTTGAAAACCTGACTCTAGTCTGCACACCTGGGCTTGGTCATGATTTTTAATCAACCGGATGACAACTAACAATATCAATGTCATCTGAAATGCTCCCTAATTATTATTATATTAGTCTTAGTTTTAAATTATGCATTCCCTTTGGAAACTTCTTTTTACTCAGTTTTGTAAATCATATTTGTAGTTGTTGCTGTGAACTGTAGTTTTCGAACCAACCCATTGCAGACCCACTGACTGGTTTTCAGAGGCAGTTATTCACACAGGAGGAGATTGCCCATGCTTCTCCTGTGGAGCAGCTGGTGGATTCGAGCTGCGAGCCTTCCAGGTTGTAGCACAGCTTCTTGTCACTAGACCACCAGAGCTCCCTAAATTAAGATGCATTTATTTAGATGCCAATTCAGTTTTCAGTTTCACTCCTATTATGAAAGAACATCTCTAATCTGTGTCTACATCTCTGGATGCCTTTTTTGTTTCATAAATTCTGCGTTCTTTCTGCTTTCTGTGTAGATTATGGTTTACAGTGTGTTCAGATTTCCTTTTCTTGTCTATGTGTATTTACTTCTCATATTGTTTCCCTCTCACTTCCTTCTATTCTTTCATTCAGCCTGTGAGCATCTTAGGATAGTCTCTTTCTGTTTCATAGAGACCATCTCTTTTTTTTATATTGTGTTGCGGATACCAAACAGCTTCTTGCCTTTTTTCTTCTGGAACCTTTTGTAGAACATTTTCAAAGGTATGCTTTTTGTCTTCATCTTTCTGGTGCTGTCTCATTTTCCTTGTCCTATAATATGTCTTCATAAAGCCTTGACTAATTGTTTTCATTATTCTTCAAACAAGATGAGATGTGTGATGTGTTTAGATTAACTCTCTTTCATGAACTGCCTTTGGTCCTCCTTTTATCCATTTATGTTAAGAAGAGCATCGTCCAGAATCATAGCCTGAGAGCCCATAGATGAGCCAGTTCCTCTCAGATTTCTTTTTTCTGCCTGACTTTCGGTCAATGTGTTATTCCTCTGCCTCTGCGACATTTTCTTCATGGCTTGGTTCCCCAATGTGCTGAAACAATAAAATAAAAAGTACTATTGTCAAGTCGATGTTGACTCACAGTGACTTGCAGGATGGAGTAAACTGCCCCACAGGTTTTTAAGGAACATGAACCTTTACAGAAGCAGAGTGCTACATCTTTCTCATGTGGAGCAGCTGGGAAGGTTCAAATTGCAGACCTTTCAGTTGCTTTTGCTAATTATTTCAAAGTATTGTTCCTGCTGACATCCCATCCTGCCTGCCCACTTGTCTCTGGGATTTGAAACCTCTGCCAAGTGTTAAAAGATTGGAGGAGAGAGGCTAGAAGCAATAGCTAAGAGGAGTCAGAGAGAGAAAATCCTGTGTTCTAGTTTGTACACTTGACCACACAACACCTGAATAGTTGTTAGGTGCTGTCAAGTACGACTCACAGTAAACCTATGAATCGTTGAACTGAATGCTGTCTTATCCTGTACCATCCGCCTTGTTGTTTGGTCAATGGAACCTCAAGACAAAGAAAATTATGATATTTATAATGAATGTCCCTTTCTTCCTGATTGAAGCACTAATGGGATTTCTTGGGTTTTTATAATTTATTCCTTATTGCACATTTCCCCTCCCTTCCTTACCCCTCTTCTATCCCTCCACAATGCCCCCCTTTTCCAAACTGTTCTCATGCATATAATGTATAATCATATATTCCTTTCAAATAGTTCTTCCCCTCATCTGTTTCAATTCAGTGTTCTTATCTAGCCACCCCTTCCCCATTAACAATAGCAAAGAGATAGAAGAAGCACTGAGGGGTTTTGTGCTGTAAGTTTTCACCTTTATTCTATGCTATCTTAGCTTTTTGGTGAGGAGTTAGAAACAGCCACATCGTGGGTTGCTACCAGAAACCATTCTGAATTCTGTATGTTATGATCTAACCCTTTTCCTTTAAATAGGTAATAGATTTAATATGTTCTCCCATACGCAGTAACAATCTAATTTTATTTGCTTCCAGGTCATGCCCAGATTGTCCATCTCCTTTTAGAGAGAAATAAGTCTGGTACAATTCCATCTGATAGCCAAGGAGCAACGCCCTTGCACTATGCAGCTCAGAGTAATTTTGCTGTAAGTAAAATGCAACAATTATCTTTTTTCTTAATTGAAGTGTTTTCAATTTGTTATATAATTCACAGAAAGTTGTAATACAGAGTTCCTAGGAAAGGTCAGCAGGTTTCAGAGATAGTAAGTCGCCAGAGAGGAGATTGCCCATCCTGCTCCCACAAAGCAGCCGATGGATTTGAACCGTCACCCTTCAGCTTCAGCATGAATAAATATTTTTGTTGAAGTGGAATGAATTCTCCATTTCTCAGTAATCATCACAATTTATTAATTTTATCAACCATTTTTAAAATTGCAGTCACAAAACATATAGTAAAAAGATATATTTACTTTTACAGCCCACAAGCCTACACGTTGTTGTTGTTGTTATGTGTCATCAAGTCAGCTGCAGTTCATAACAACTCTATGTACAGCAGTCCTAAACCCTGCTCTATCCTGTGCCAATCTTATTGTCGCTGATACATCTATCCCTATTGCCCCAGTCACTGAATCAATCCATTTCATCGAGGGTCATCTTCTCCTGCACAGTCCCTCCACCCTCCCAAGCATGACATCCCTCTCCAAGGACTGGCCCCTCCTGGCAACATGTCCAAAGTATGTCAGGCAAAGCTTCAGAATCCTTGCCTCCAAAGAGCAGCCTGGTTTCACCCTCTCTAGGACAAACACTTTTTTCTGCTAGCAGTCCATGGGTTTAGAAGGGATAGTGGTACTAGGGATATTGTTGCTGATGTTAGATGGATCTTGGCTGAAAGCAGAGAATACCAGAAGAATGTCTACCTGTGTTTCATTGATTATGCAAAGGCATTTGACTGTGTGGATCATAACAAACTGTGGCTGACTCTGAGAAGAATGGGAATCCCAGAACATTTAATTGTGCTAATGCGAAACCTATACTTGGACCAAGAGGCAGTAGTCAGAACAGAGCAGGGTAACACTGCATGGTTCAAAATTGGGAAGGGTGTACGGCAGGGATGCATCCTGTCTCCATACCTTTTCAACATGTATGCAAAGCAGATTATCCAAGAGGCTGGGCTCTATGAGGAGAATTGTGGCATCAGGATTGGTGGAAGATGTGTTAACAATCTGCGTCATGCAGATGACACAACCCTGCTTGCTGAAACTGAGGAGGACCTCATGCACTTGCTGCGAGGGGTCAAGGACTGCAGCCTTCAGTATGGACTGAGGCTCAATGTCAAGAAGACAAAGATTCTCACCACTGGACCAATTGGCAGCGTCAGGATGGATGGCGAAGAGATTGAGATTGTTCACAGCTTCAGTTTGCTCGGCTCCACAGTCAACACTCTTGGCACCAGCAGTCAGGAAATCAAAAAGCGTATTGCGATGGGAAAGTCTGCTGTTAGGGACCTCTCTAAAGTACTCAGGAGCAACGGTGAGCAACGGTGTCTCTCTGGAGACTAAGGTGCACCTGATACAGGCCATGGTCTTGGCAATCGCTTGTTATGCATCAGAGAGTTGGACAATGACTAGGGAGGACAGAAGGAGAGTGGATGCTTTTGAGCTGTGGTGCTGGAGAAGAGTACTGAATGTACCATGGACTGCCAGGAAAACAAACAGATTCATCTTGGAGAGGATTAAACCAAGCTACTCCTTGGAGGCAAGGATTCTGAGGCTTCGTCTGACATACTTTGGACATGTTGCCAGGAGGGACGGGTCCTTGGAGAGGGATATCATGCTTGGGAGGGTGGAGGGATGGCCCAGGAGGGGAAGACCCTCTATGAGATGGATTGATTCGGTGACTGGGGTAATTGGGATGGGCATGTCAGAGGCAGTGCGGTTGGCGCAGGACAGAGCAGGCTTTAGGGCTATTGTGCATAGGGTCGCTATGAGTCACGAACGACTCGACGGCACATAACAACAACAACAGCAATCCATGGTGTATTCAGTACTATTCTCCAGCACCACAGCTCAAAGGCATCAGTTCTCCTTCTATTTTCCCTAGTCCAGCTTTCTGATGCATAGCAATTAACTAAAATGCCCAAGAAAAGCTACATGTTAATGTTGGTCATGACACTAAATAACTTGTATTTTAATTGTCACTTTATCTTTCTAACAGTGACCTATGTGGTTTTAAACCTGATTGAAAATGATTATTGAAATTATCATTGAAAATTATTATTTTCAATTATAAGAAATCTCAAATCAAGCAGTTAGGTTATGTTTTGACGTCCTATCAAAACTCAACTCATACATAAGGGCAGTGGGTTATTATTTACTTTTTAAAAAACAATTTATATTGGTTTGCATACGTCATTTATAGACATCACATTTTGTATGTATACTTTGTGTGTTATGCAATATTTCATGTACATTATATTTTATATCATTAATTACCATTCTCTATACCTGTTCTCACCCCATCTTCTCCTCCTGCACCTTTTCGGCCCCTCTTCACTCCTTTACCTTTACCTTATGAACATTTGTACATATCTTACTAAATTATCTTGCTATTTTAACAGTAGTGGCCCTTATGCAATATTTGTTCTTATGTGACTGAGATATTTCACTCAGCAAAATGCTCCCTAGTTTCTCCCAAGCTCCCTAGTATTTTATGAAATCATTGTTCCTTAGTGCTGGGATATAATATTCCATTGTGTGAATGTACCATCATTTTTCAATCCATTCATTTGTTGATGGGCATTTGGACTGTTTCCATTTTCTTGCTATTGTGAATACTGCTGCTATGGACATAGGTGTACAAATGTCCATTTGTGTCTCAGTTCTGATTTCCTTGGAGTCTATTCCTGGCAGAAGAATAGCTGGGTCAAATGCTATTTCTATGTTCAAGTTTTTGAGGAAATGCCAAACTGCCTTCCACAGTGGTTGGTCCATTTTACAATTCCATCAGCAGTGTATAAGAATTCCAATATTTCTACATCCTCTCCAACATTTATTGTTTGCTGTTTTGTTGAACTTACTATTTTCAGTATTGTTCTTTTCAGTGCAAATTATCATTTTATTATTAATTAAAATGTTGATCAATTTTGTTGGCAGTTATTTTATCTCAGTTATTTAAATGAAGTTTTCTTACAGGAAACGGTTAAAGTCTTTTTAAAACATCCTTCAGTGAAAGATGATTCAGACCTTGAAGGGAGAACATCCTTTTTGTGGGCTGCTGGGAAAGGCAGTGACGATGTCCTTCGAACTATGCTGAGTTTAAAATCTGACATTGATATTAACATGACAGACAAATATGGAGGTACAGGTAAGGACTGGTAGGCATTTAAGTTTGCTTTCATGCAAGTTCTGAAATGTTGATGGTGCTGTACTGCTTATAAAAATAAACACTTAAAAAAAATAAACACTTAAAATCATTGTTCCTAATCTAACATTGGTAGCATAGTATGCAGCATATTAAGCTACTGACTGGAAAGTGGGTAGTTCAAATCCATCAACCTATCTCAGGGGGAAACCCAGCAAAACAGTAAAGAAACATAGGCAGGAGTCAATATAATTAAAAATTCACAGTTGTTGTTGTTGTTGTTGATTGCCTTCAAGTTGAGCCCGACTCATAGTGACCCTATGAACAGAAGTGGATGCCACTCCTGCTCTTTTAAAAACTGCTTAAGAAGATTCCACACAAAGAGACCCCATTCCATTTCCCAAATTTCCCCCCAGTGTTGAAATGATAACTGTTTATAAAACTGAGGCTTCAAGAACCAACTAGCTTATATTTGGAACAATATTGTATAAAAATATATTCAAGCTGTGGTGCTGGAGAAGAGTATTGAATATATCATAGACTGTTAGAAGAGAAAACAGGCTTATCCTAGAGAGGGTGATACCAGGCTGCTCCTTGGAGGCAAGGATTCTGAAAATTTGTCTGACATACTTTGGATATGTTGCAAGCCAGGGCCAGTCCTTGAAGAGGGACATCATGTTTGGGACAGCGCAAGAGAGAAAGATCCTTGATGAGATGGATTGATTCAGTGACTGGAGTAATGGGGGCAGGTGTGTCTGAGACAGTAAGATTGGCACAGGATAGAGCAGGATTTAGGGCTATTGTACATAGGGTCACTATGAGTCACAAGTGACTCAAGAGTGCATAATGACAACATATCAAGATGTACATACTTTCAGCATCACTAAAGTAATAAATAAAAAAATGACCAACTGAAGGAACAGCAAATTGAAGTGTCTAGTCACTTGACTGCTTATTGAGTGGGATTGCATGCATTGTTTCAATCTTTTTTCTTTGCCATCCTTTATTCTCTTTCTTTCTTAGAAAGAAGGAGAGGTTATAAACTAGTAACTCAGAAGATGATATTATTTTAGAACAAGAGGAAAACAGAACAGAAGAGGGAAAGGAAGAAAGTATTAATGATACATATGAGTAGAGAGGAAACAGATAACTATAAAAATGAAGGATGGAGAGAACATAGAGAATCCTGAAGATTAAATTGCATTTGGCCTAAATGATGGGAGGTCGTAAAGGGGGTGAAAATACCTAATTAGAACACTAAAGGCAAATTCGTTACTAAGAAATTCATCCCTTTTTTCTGCATCCTTTTTAGCTCTGCATGCTGCGGCCCTTTCTGGCCATGTCAGCACCGTGAAGTTGTTACTGGAAAATAACGCTCAAGTAGATGCTACTGATGTCATGAAACATACACCACTTTTCCGAGCCTGTGAGATGGGACACAAAGAAGTGATTCAGACTCTTATTAAAGGTCAGTTTGTCAAGTTATTAAGTGTTTTTAGTAAATCACTCTCAAAATGTGAACATTTTTGCAAACCAAGTCTAAAAGAAAGCTTTACCTAAGAGAGTAGCCACACCGGTACTTGGACAGCAGGATAACACTCAGCCTGGCATCAGAAAACGCTGTCTACACTCCCAGCTCCCATCCTGCTGAGAGTTGTTGGGTTTTGGAGAAATTACTTCACCTCCCAAATCCTTTGTTTTGTTTTATGTATAATGATAATGGCTCATTCTAAACAATATATAGACTTTTTTATTACTATCAGAGAAGTATAATGTGTTTGGAAGCATTTTGACTTGTTATATTTTTTCATTTTTGTCTTTTAATTTTTTATGCTTTATTTTATTCAAGTAACAAAGTTTTCCATAAAAATATTTTTTAGTGTATAACTTAGTAGTCGGTTATTTTTATAATGTTGTGCAACCATCCCCACAATTTAGTTCTAAAACTTACATTACTTCACACACAAATTCTGCTCCTATTAAGCAGTAATTCTCCTTCCTTTCAGTTCATAGTAACTCTAGTCTGCATTCTGCCTTTAAGAAATTACCTACTCCAGGGAATTCACACAATTAAAACCATACAGTACTTGTTCTCTGATGTCTGGCTTATTTCACTCAGCATTATGTTTTTTCAAAGTTCATCTGTATTTTAGCCTATATTGGAATTTTATTCATTTTTAAAGCTGAGTAATATTCCATTGGATATATGTATCACCTGTCCACAAATGCGATACATATACGCAGTGGAATATTCTTGTTTAATAATAATAATAAGGGAGCTCTGGTGACCTAGTGGCAAGAAGCTGCACTGCAATCCCAGAGGAACATGGTTCAAATCCACCAGATGCTCTGCTGGACAAGGAGGGACAATCTCCTCCAGTACCAGTCAGATCCAATTTGACAGTACACAAACAAAATAATAAAAATAATAATAATATTACTAGTAATAGTATCACTATAATAGTAAAGTAATAGCTCTGTTGTCCTAGTAGTAAGAAGCTGTGCTGCAATCCTGAAAGCACACAGTTCAAATCCACCAGCAGCTCCAAGGGAGAAGGATGGGCAGTCTCCTCTTGTGCGATTAACTGCCCCGGATCACCTGCTGGAGGGTGAGCTATGAGTCGGTTCTGAATCAGTGGCACAAACAACAACAGTAACAGAAATAATAATGGAAAAGGGCGCTCCTGTGGACCAGTGGCAAGAAGTTGCGCTACAGTCTCAAAGGCCTGCAGTTCAGGTCCACCAACCACTCCATAGGAGAGAGATGGCATTCTCCTTCCATAAGATTAAGTGCCTCTTAAAACCCACCAGAGGGTCAGCTGTGGGTGTGTTCTGGCTCCATGGTACGCAACAACAAGAATACATATCACATTCATCTATTAATGAACATTTGAGTTGTTTGTACATTTTGGCTGCTATGAGTAATGCTTCAATAAACATTTGTATAAGTATCTCAGTCCTTGCCTTCAATTCTTTTGGATGTATCATACCTAAAAGTAGAAATGCTACATCGTACGATAATTCTGTGTTTAACTTCTTGAGGAATGGCTTCTATTTTCTTCTTACAAATCCTCCGTATATTCTGTATTTTTATTGTATGTTTGGTTTTCCAGGTGGAGCGAGAGTTGATCTAGTTGACCAAGATGGACATTCTCTTCTGCACTGGGCAGCACTGGGAGGAAATGCTGATGTTTGCCAGATATTGATAGAAAATAAGATCAATCCAAACGTGCAAGACTATGCAGGAAGAACGCCTTTGCAGTGTGCAGCCTATGGGGGATATATCAACTGTATGGCAGTGCTTATGGAAAATAATGCAGACCCCAACATCCAAGACAAAGAGGTAGAAATCCCATGTCTCTTAAAAGTCAACTAAGTCTTCTCAGATGTTTAGATTATTTCCTCTTTATTGTAAAATAAGTTTCCTCAATGATCACCTAGAAATCCATTAGTCATAAATTCTTTTTATTTATCCATAGTCTCATCCCCTCTCTATGTCCATTCATATGGATATATACATATATATTCTGTAATACAGTTGTATCCACAAAATATAGACATGTTTGTATTATAGTGTTTTTATCTGTATATCCACATATATATGGATATGGCAAAAATATGGTGTTAATAGAGCCATAATACACAATGGAAATAACCTTTTAACTTCCATAAAATGCTTACATAGGGCGTGTGTGTGTGTGTGTGTGTGTGTACCAAGCCTCTTGCCATCAAGTCTGTTCCTACTCCTCATGAACTCACGTTTACAGAGTATCACTGAGCTGCGTAGAGTTTTTTTTTGGTTATAATCTATAGAACAGGTCACTAGATGTCCTTCTGCAGCTACGCTGAGTACGTTCAGACTCAACTTTTTGGTTAGTTGTAACAGCAAACCATTTGTACTATTCAGGGATTTTTATAGTCTCTAACAGCTTTTCTATTTCACCAAATTGGAATTTTTTTACATAGAAATATGCTAAGCTATTTTCCAGTTCTCTAAAGTCTTGTGTATATTCTTTTGCATTATCTATATAAACAATCATGTCTTTTGTGACTATTCCATTCCAATTCTTAAGTCTTTCATTTTTCTGTCATGCCTTTTTTGCACTAGCTAAGACCTACCATTTATTACTGAATAGAATTGGTGATAGCTGACATCTTAATTCATTCTGTACTTACTTGAAGGGGAAACTTTCAATATTTCACCATTCAATGTGGTGTTTGGTATAGGTCTCTTTACATTTTTAGTTGTTAAAGTTTTGTAGGGTTATTTTTTGATTGTTTTTTAAAAATCATGATTAGGTACTTCATTTTTATTAGATACTACTTCCTTATATATTAACATGATCATATTATTTTTTTTCCTTTTTTCTGTTAATATGATGAGTTACACTGATTGATTACATGGAATTTTCAGATAGTAAACAATCTATACATTCCTAAAATAAAGCCCATCTATGGTAAATCTTTTCTTCATATGTATTTATAGGTTTGATTTGAAATTTTGTATACAGTTTTTGTATCTCTATCCATGGAGGAGATAGACAAGGATCTAGTTTTTCTTTCTAGTGGTGCACTTATCAGGCTATGGTTAACATGATTATGCTTACTTTTTTTTAAATTATAATTATATTTTATTAATTTTCATAAACATTTACAGAGATTTTGGGCTTCCACTCATTCATTGTTGCACTATTCTCTCTACCCTCCTCCCAGTTCGTTCTTGTCCAAATGCCACAGTGCTTGTCAAAGCCAGTTCTGATTAATCTTCTTTGTCAGTGTATCCTTTGCCATTCCCTATCACTCCTCCCTGAGAGAGACTTCACCCTGAGTCATAAGGAAAAGGGGACGGCGTATTCTCTTAGCTACTTCCTGCTGAAAAGGGACGCTGTGGGTTTCAGGGTGAAGATCTTCTCTCACTACTCTAAAGGGCCCCTTTGGCAGTAGGAAACACATAGACTATTATGGAGATTGATTTTGGAATTCAGATGCACTCTTATTGATTGTGCTTGGCTGTACATGTACATATCCTTCAAGATGTATCATGGGGGTGTTGCAACCTAGAAGACACAAATTTGACTAACAAGTTATAAGTACATGAGTCCAAAAATTATGGAAAAGTAAAAGAAAAGATTCTTTCATTGTTTTACAAACCCTCCCCCAGGTCCCCTCCACCATGCAGCCCTCGCTCTAGTCTCCTGTGATGACAGAAATACCCAGTTACATCTCTCTTTTAAACGGTTCTCTCCCTCCTCTGTTTCAGTGCAGTATACATTATTGAACCCATCTTACTCAGTCTCTCCCCAACCCCAAGGACAGTCCCATTCTACAACAGTGGCATCATGTAATATTTGTCCTTTTGTGACTGGGATATTTCACTCAGCATAATGTTCTCCAGAGTCAACCATTTTGAATAATATTGCATGAGTTCCTTGTTTTTTAATGCAGCATAGTATTCCATTGTGCGAATATACCACAGCTTCTCTAGCCATTCGTTTGTTGATGGGCACTTAGGTTGTTTCCAACTCCTTGCTATTGTGAACAAAGCTGCAATAAACATGGGTGTGCATATATCTGCTTGGATGTCAGCTATGGTCTCTTCAGGGTATATTCCCAGTAGTGGAATTGCTGGGTCAAATGGTATCTCTATTTGCAACTTTTTGAGAAAGCGCCATACTGCTTTCCACAGGGGTTGCACCATTTTACACTCCCACCAACAGTGAATCAGGGTTCCAGTTTCTCCACAACCTCGCCAGCATTTGTTGCTTGGATTATGCTTACTTTGAGTTGAGAATTCATTCCTTTTCTTTTTTTCTTGAATGTTTGGAGGATTTTTCTAGTTAAAAGCATCTGGTCTTAGGTTTTTCTTTGTGCAAAAGTTGTTAATAACTGATTCTGCTCCAATAATGGCTTTAAGTGGCTTTTCTATTTCTTTCTGACTTTCTAATTCTTTTCCTTTTAGCTGTGGTAAGTAATATTTTTAAAGAAATTTCTCCATTTTTATTAGAAAGGCTAATATATTTGCATAAAGTTGGCAAAATATTCTTTTTACCTTTATAAGATATAATTATTCTTATTCACTTTAATACAGTTTTCTTTCTTTAATTTTGTTTTGTATACTCATCTTTTCAAAGAACTAATTTGTCTTTTCTGATTTTATATACGTTTGTTTGCAATTTCATTGGTGACTATTTCTGTCTTACTATTTTCTACCATCTACTTTCCTTAGGTTTGACTTACACTTCTTTGTTTAGATTTTTTGAATAAAAGTTTCAATTGTTGATACTTTAATTCACTTATATTCATTTAAGCATATTTCTTTGAAGCACTGCTTTAGCTATAACCTACAAGGTTTGGTACGTTGTACCATCACCATTGTTTAGTTAATATCTTTTATAATTTCTATTTTTATTTATTCTCTTGACCATAATTATTTAAATTATTTCATTTCTAGGAAGTGGGATTTTTTTCCTCCTCCAGTGCAGACTGTGTAGGGTGGAGCTCCCCAACTAAAACAAACTTGGAAGCAGGAGTGGCATCCACTTCTATAATAGCTTGCCTCCAGAAACCCTATGAACCTGGAGAGAGGATGAAAACACACAAGAGTTGAGGACTCTCCTTCATAGGGTCGCTAGAGTCACCTGCGACTCGACAGCACTTAACAATGACAACAACTATCGAAATGTTTACTAATATAATAACTTCATATTTGAAGTGGGCATTTTCTCTTTATCTAATTGTTCACTAGTTGAATAATTTTTTCTACAAATTACCAAAGACTCTGTGCATTAATAGAACACAGTTTTTCCCCCTCTTATTTCCAATATGTCAACAGCCCAAAATACAGTTCTAGTGATGCAGTTTGTGGGGAGTTGCAGTGATAACCAAAGGTTAACACCTCCCTGGCAGTTCAAATCTCCCAGCAGCTCCTCAGGAGAAAGGTGGGCAGTCTCCTTCCATGTGATTTACAACCTCTGGAAACCAGCTGGAAGATGAGCTATGAGTGAATTCTAACTCGGGCAATGAGTGAGAGTGATGAGGGAGCTCTGATGGGTGTGGTCTGTAGGGAACTGTGCTGCTAATGCCAAGGCCACACCTCTGTGGTGGCTTGAACCCGCCAGTAGCTCTTTAGGGGAAAGATAGGCAGTCTCTTCTCTTGAGATTTATAGTGTGGGAAAACCAATGGAGGGTGAGCTGTGAGTTGGTTCCTACAGTCTTGGAAACCCAGTGGAGAGTCAACAGTGGAGCTAAGTTCCCACCTGAAGGCAATTTTGTTGTTGTCGGTGTTGTTATTGTGTGTCATTGAGTTGGAACCAACTCATAAGTGACCCTCCAGTGAATTTTCAGAGACAGTTAATTGCACAGGAGAAGAGAAACCAAAATCAGTCAGCAGGGCTGCATTCCTTCTGGAAGCTCAAGGAGGCAGTGTTTCCTTGGATTTTGCCCACTTTTTCTATTCCTCATAATCCCATTGTGCCATCTGCAAAGCCGCAGTGACTGGCCGAGTCTCTCTCATGCTGCATCACCAAGGCTCCCCCTCCTCCTTTCTCTTTTCGTTATGAGGACCTTGTGATTACACTGGGTTTATCCAGATATTCTAGAACAATCTCCACGTTTGAAGGTCAGATGACTTGCCATTTTAATCCCCCTTGCTATATAATGTAACAGAATCACAAATTACAGGGATTATAACAAGGACATCTTTAGAGGAAGGAGGGGTGTATTGTTCTATTCTCCACACGTGTTTCTAGCTGAATTGTACTGTCATCAGAACACATTCTGAATCATTCCAAAGTATTTTTTTTCATTCCAAAGTATTTTAAGTGTCATACCTTGTTTATGACTGAGTTTGATATGTGTTAGATATGTACTTGAAAAGAAGGATAATTCAGTTTGTCAAAAGAATGGGGGTATCTTTTATATAGGTCTAATACACTAATAATGTGTTCAAGTGTTATCTTTACATTCTTTCATCAGTTTGTTCTATCAACTATTGTAAAAGGTGAGTTAAAATTACCAGCTATGATTATGGATTTAACTATCTCTTGTTATATTTTGGTCAGTTTTTCTTATATAAGTAAAGGCTATACTAACAGGCATATACCGATAATAGGATTTTGGTATTTTCTTCTTTGACTCTTAAATAGTATGAAATATCCTCTTTTATCTCTAGTTTTACTTCAGACTGGCTAACTTGCTGATTTTAAGTCCCTTCACTGGTTTAATGAAATAAATAAAGGAAAAATTATCCTTCCAAGTAGGAATAACACTTGCTTGGTTTAACTTTTGTATACAGCCTGTAATTGAGAGATATGTTGTTAGTCACTAAACATTTATCTCTACACAATATCTAAGCAATATCTAGGCCAGATATTCCTGAGGGTAGAGTAATGAATAAAGGTAAAGAAACTTCTTTATCTCTTTGACATTAAAATTGTTTGAGAATATGTTACTGTTGTTGTTAAGTACCATCAAGTATGACTCACAGTGACCCTGTGAATAACAGACTGAACCCTGTCCTATCCTGTGCATCCTCATCATCCCTGACACACTTGAGCCCACTGCTGCAGTCACTGTGTCTGTCCATCTGGTTGAGGGTGTTCTTCTCTTTCACCATCCCTCCACCTTCCTAGGCAGCATACCCAAGGTATGTTCTATAGATGAAGGTCTATCATCTTTGGCTCCCAGGAGCACTCTGATGACATCTTTTCCAAGACATATCTGTTTTGTTCATTTGGCAGTCCATGGGATATTCAGTACTCTTTTACACCACCAAAGCTCAATATCATCAATTCTTATTTGTCACCCTTATTCACTGACCAGCTCTCAGCAGCATAGCAAGTAATTGAAAAGACCATGGCCTGAATACGGCCCACCTTAGTCCTCAAGTTAATATCATTGTTAGTTTGATGGGGACTTTTTATATTATAGACTATGTATTTTATGGAATTTTGCTTAATTTAGGTTTGCCCTATGTATCCTCCTAAATAAATACAGGTTTTATATTTTGTTTTTTATATTACATAAGTAATATTGAATATTCCATGAACTGCTAAGAAAATGAACACATTTTTCCTGGAAAGGGTGAAGCCAGGCTGCTCCTTAGAGGCAAGGATTCTGAAGCTTTGTCTGACATACTTTGGATATGTTGCAAGGAGGGACCAGTCCTTGGAGAGGGATGTCATGCTTGGAAGGATGGAGGGACAGTGCAGGAGAGAAAGACCCTCGATGAGATGGACTGATTCAGTGACTGGGGTAATGGAGATAGGTGTGTCAGAGACAGTGAGATTGGCACAGGATGGGGCAGGGTTTAGGGATGTTGTACATAGAGTCTCTGTGAGTTGCAGATGACTTGACGATACATAACAACAACAACAAAGTAATATTAAGTAATTCTTAGCTTATCTTGGAAGTGTATGATTCTCCTTAAGGTAGCATTCATTTTGATCATTTATGTACAGTGCCATTCATTTTTTCCAGTTAAGGGGGTTTTTTTCTTCCATAATGAAGACAGAATTGCTTACATTTTTAATTTAGCAAAAGTAATTTCTTGTCTCTGTCATTGCTGTTTAGTCAGAACTGACCTGTTCCTTACCCTCCCGAGAGTTTCCAACACTGTAAATCACACAGGTGAGACTGCACATCCTTCTCCTCCAGATCCACTAATGGATGTGAATCACCAGAGAGGCACTGCCTTTGGGTTAACAATGCAGCTCCATGCAGAGTAGGTCAGCAGGGTTCCCCAAAACTGTAAAAGTAATATATTTCCATGATGTAAAACTCATACATACCCCAAAATACTTGCTCTAGATATACTTGACTTTTATCCTTGTTTGTAGGGGAGAACAGCTTTGCACTGGTCCTGTAACAATGGATACCTTGATGCCATTAAACTACTGTTGGACTTTGCTGCTTTTCCTAATCAGATGGAAAACAACGAAGAGAGGTAAGTTATTGGTATAGTGTGCTGTTGATCAAGTCATATCTTCTATGCCAGGTTAGAAAGTCTCTAGTTTAGATATTGGTTCTGAAACAGTATGTATACTCATAAGGAAATACTACACTAAGAAATATTGAGCCAGAAAAGAAAAAAAAGAATAATATTAACATGTAATATTGATTGAATGAGTTTCTAAGCATTTCAATATCAACTAATGAATATTCAATCATTTCAATATTCAGTGAATAATAAAATATTATAGCTACGCTCTTGGAACCAGCAGTCAGGAAATCAAAAGACCAATTGGATTAGGAAAGATCGCTGTTAGGGACCTCTCCAGAGTGCTGAAGATCAAAGATGTCAGTCTAGAGAACTAAGGTGCGCCTGAGGTCATGGTCTTTGCTGTTATTTGCTACATATTAGAAAGCTAAGCAATGAATAAGGATGACAGAAGAAGAATTGATGCCTTTGAGTTGTGATGCTGGTGAAGAGTATTGAACCTAGCATGGACTGCATGACAGCTAACAGGTCTGTGCTGGAGAGGGTGAGACCAATTTGTTCTCTGGAGGCAAGGAATTTGAAGCTCTGTCTCACATATGTTGGGCTTATTTCCAGGAGGGACCAGACCTTGGAGAAAGACATCATGCTTGGAAGGGTAGAAGGACAGCACAGAAGAGAAAGACCCTTGATGAGATGGATTGACACAGTGACTCGGGTAATAGGGAGGGACATGTGTGTCGGAGACACTGAGATTGATTGGCTCACAATAGGACAGGGTTCATAGCTATTGTGGATAGGGTCATTATGAGTTGTGGGTGACTTGGTGACAAATAACAAGGATAGCTATTAAAGATTTTCACTATTACATAGCACATGCTCATATTTTGCAAATGAGGAAACTTAAATCTTCATATTCTGAGGTTAGACAGGAGTGTGGCTGTGTTATGGGACTCTTGATTGACCAGGAGTTCAGTTAGGCTAATATTGCTTCAGCGGTTGTTTCCAGGAAACTGTCACTCTGTTCTGACAAGAAACTCATTTTTCTATGTCTTTTAGGAATTTCCCCCATTAGTTATAGCCTCTATTATTTTCCAACTCTCTGCTCCTGAAGTTCATCTCCTTTGCCTAAAGTTTTCTGTCTCTTAAACTGTCTTCATTTCCTCCATTTTTCTCTACTCATCTTTAATACTTTTATAGTCCAGCTTCTATCCATATTATTATTCTAAAATTTATATATGGGTAGTCATTGTCGTTGTTTTAAGTAGCATCAAGTTGAGTATACTTTATAGCAACTCTAAACAGCAGACTCGAATCCTTTCCTATCCTGTGCCATCCTCTTCACCTCGGACACTTTGGAGCCCATTGCTGCAGTCACTGTCATTCTGTCTTATGGAGGGTCTTTTCTTTTGTTAATCCTCTACCTTTCCAAGCACAATGTCCCTTTCCAAAGAATAGCCCCTTCTAACAACATGCCCATATATATATATGAGATGGAGCTTCTCCATCCTTGCCTCTAAGGAGCACTCTGGTTGCACTTACTCCAAGATATATCTGTTCTTTTGGTAGTCCATGGAATATTCAGTACTTTTCTTGAACACCATAATTCAAAGGCATAGTTTATTCTCCTGTCATCCTTATTCATTGTCCAGCTATGAACTGCATGGCAAGTGATTTTGAAGATCATGGCCTAAGTGGGGCATACCTTAGTCTTTTTTTAAGTTATTTATATTTTAATTAATTAAAAAGAATTAATTCATTTAATTCCATTAATTCATTAATTGTTGCACATTTTCCTCCCTGTCCCCCCTCCCCCCTCAGTTTGCTTTTTTCTTTGGAAAAAAGTTCTTTCATTGTTATACAGTTCCCCACCCACAACCCCCCGACCACTTTACTCTGCATCTCTTATTCTGGACTCTTGTCATGCCAGTAATACCTAATCATATATTCTTTTTATACAGTTCTCTCCTTTGTCTGTTTCAATGGAATGTACAGTATTTCCCCCTCTTTTCTTAGTTTCCCCCAACCCCCGTATCAGTCCTGTTCTATAACAGTGGCATATGCAGTATTTGTCTTTTTGTGACTGAGATATTTCACTCTGCATAATGTCTTCCAAGGTCACCCATTTTGTATAATATTTCATGAGTTCTTTGTTTTTCAGTGCTGCATAATATTCCACTGTGTGACTATACTACAGCTTCTCTATCCATTCGTTTGTTGATGGGCACTTAGGTCGTTTCCAACTCTTTGCTATTGTGAACAAAGTTACGATAAACATCGGTGTGCATATATCTGCTTGGGTGGCGGTTGTGGTTTCAGTGCTGTGGCTCACCTTTCAGCCAAACAATAGACAGACTTACAAGGTGCACCCCTTAGAACAACCAGCCATCCAAGATCAAAAGGACAGTAGTTCTCCTGGAATAAAGCTCAAAAAGTAGGAAAGGATAGGACAGCAGGATGAAGGAAAATGGTAGACACAAGGAAGAGGAGGAGAGGGTGCTGTTAAAGTGTGATGATCAGAATCAGTGCAGCTAACAAAACCTGGGTGAATAGGTGAAAATCCATTTGCTGTCTAAACTTTTAACCCAGATCACAGTTAAGATAGATAGATAGATAGATAGATAGATAGATAGATAGATAGATAGATAGATGATAGATAGGTAGTTGTTGTTATGTGCCGTCGAGTCATTTGCGACTCATAGCGACCCTATGCACAACAGCCCTAAACCCTGCTCTATCCTGCGCCAACCGCACCGCCTCTGACACATCCATCCCGATTACCCCAGTCACCGAATCAATCCATCTCATAGAGGGTCTTCCCCTCCTGCACCATCCCTCCACCCTCCCAAGCATGATGTCCCTCTCCAAGGACCCGTCCCTCCTGGCAACATGTCCAAAGTATGTCAGACGAAGCCCCAGAATCCTTGCCTCCAAGGAGTAGCTTGGTTTAATCCTCTCCAAGATGAATCTGTTTGTTTTCCTGGCAGTCCATGGTACATTCAATACTCTTCTCCAGCACCACAGCTCAAAGGCATCAACTCTCCTTCTGTCCTCCCTAGTCATTGTCCAACTCTCTGATGTATAACAAGCGATTGCAAGGACCATGGCCTGTATCAGGCGCACCTTAGTCTCCAGAGAGACAGTGTTGCTCCTGAGTACTTTACAGAGGTCCCTAACAGCAGACTTTCCCATATAGTCTCCTCCCAGAAGATTGTCCTTATCTCCCAATTATATACCCCGTCCTCTGTTCTCCTATACATTTGTGTATTCTCATAGTACTTAGTACATTTCACCTTGTATTATAGTTGCATGCAATCTGTCTTCCCTACTGTTACAGAACTTCTGAAGATCATAATTATCTCTGTTTTTCACAGTGCTTTTCATAAAACAAATGTTTAGGGAGCTCTGGTGTCCTAGTGGCAAGAAGCTGTACTACAATCCCAGAGGTATGCGGTTCGAATCCACCAGATGCTCTGCTGCAGAAGGAGGAAAAATCTCCTCCTGTACCTGTCAGATCCGATTTGACCGTACATGCACAAAAAATAATAAAATAAAAAAGAAAACAAAACAAATGTTTATTAAATACTTCTAGAGCTCACATGACAAGTAGAATAAGAGAAAGCATGCCAATGTGTCTGAATTTGAGAATGATTGTAGAAAAATGCTATTATACTTAAAAGACCACTGGAAAACAAAAAGACATGAAGATTCAGGGGCTTGAGTATTTAAGGAAGCTGGAAAGCCTAGGGAGTTCTCAGAGCTGAGAGTTTGACATTAAAGCAGACATGTGAGAGAGCTGGAGATTTCACCCTTAGAAAACTTGAAGAAAATAGAAGGAAAAGACGAAGAATCCTAATTGATGATTTCTTTCTCTAAAGAATTGATTCTATAACAGCATTTACTGACTGCTTTGTTTCTTGATTATAAGAAAGTGTTGAAAAATATATTCCTTGTAGTTTAAATTCTCTTTTATATCCTAAGGCTTGATGTTTAGACCTAAATAAGCACATGGATTAAGGAACTTAGTGCCTCCCGAAGTAAGCATATGCTAACTACAGACCCAAAGAAAAATCCTCCTGCTGGTCCCTGCCACACTGCAGACAAAAGCTTAGAGGCAATGTCCCAGTCTCCTTTAATGGTTCATCAACCACGCACCTTGATGTCCAAATGTCAGAACTTGGCGCTGCCTTTTATCTTTATTGACATTCCAGTTTAAGTATTCTATCCATCCTATCAGACCATTCCCGCCTGGCAAGTCCTATTGTCTCTTGTCTCTTGCCTTTATCTACATTGTATCTTGGCTGGTTACCATCAATGTAGTGCTAATTTTCATTTCTCATGTGTTGACACTAACCACTTGATGTGCACTGCATAGACATAATTTTTGCCAACTACTGCTGGCTTTCAGTCAATAACCATCTGACAGCCATACGCTGACATTGATGGGAATATTCACAGCACTTGAATGTTTCTGAATTGAATTTGGGATGAAGCTAGATTCACTAGTAATAATCACAGTGTGGTCAGTCGCTTACTTATTAGGTATAAACTTAAAAGTTGACTAGCTTTTTGGGTCTCCTTGAATTGGAAATTGACTACAATATTTGATTTTACTAACCCAATTATTAAAAACATTAAGGGGACTTTTTAAACATGGAATGACTATAGGGTTTGACTAAATTTATGTTCATTTTCTGGTACAAAAATGGCATTATAGTTATGTTTGTATTATTTATAGATTAATATCTAACTATATAGAGATTGAATGCTAGGAGTTCTGGGATTTGCTTTAAAATACTTTAGAAAAACTACAAAGGAGAGGGTTATATGGAGCAAATGTGGCAACAATCTTGCTAATTGTTAAATTTGGATACACAGTATATACCATTTTATTATACTATTATTTCTACTCTTACTTAAGCTTGAAATTTCTCATAGTAAAAGTATTTAAAGCCTGTAAAATGCTCTTTTCAATCCAGAACCAACTCCAAAGTCGTAGCCCTTCTTCC